CATATACATATGAAAAATGGCGTCGGCGTCGGGCTGCTCTAGGGATTCGCCCGATTGCGATTCCATACATTGAAACTATCGGCTTCCTCCACGGGCATCACCGCACCCACCGACACCCGACGACGAAGATTCGTGTCATTCGGTTTTGTCGTACCCGACAACGAAGGGCTTCTCTCCTTCGTTCTGCTCGCGAGTCGTCTGTGAGTCGTCTCTTTCCTGCCAGACGACGAGCTTGCTCGCGTCCTTCGGTCTTTTCTTCGTTCCCGACGACGAAGGGCTTCGCTCTCGGTTTCACACGACATCTTGCCCGACCACTGTTTGCGTTCTCTGTTTCTGTTCGTCTTTGCTTCAGCTACTGTATTGGCACGTGGGGTTTACTTTTGTTCCGGTGTGGGGGAATGACCTCGAGTTATGCTGCGGCTGTCTCAAGGGGTTCTACTCTCGGAGCAGACGACCGTTCCTGTTTCTTCCCTCAAGAATTTAATGATGCACATGAATCTGGAGGTGGTTATACCTTTATTAAAAAACTGGGAAGAAAGAATGACAAACCCGCTTTGTTTCTCACTGATGAGGCGGGCTGCTCTGCTAGGGTTTCGTCTGATGGAGATTCCTTACCTTGAAACTATCAGCTTCCTCCACGGCTATGTCGTCTCCGACGATGAGGATTGGTGCGGTCTGCGTCATTCGGTTTTGTCGTACCCAGCAATATAAGGCTTCTCTCCTTCGTTCTGCTCGCGAGTCGTCTCCTTCCTGTCAGATGAAAAGCTTGCTCGCGTCCGTTGGTTTCTCCTTCGTTTCCGACGACGAAGGGCTTTGCTCCTGGATTCTTTTTTCGTGCGACGTTTTCTACCCGCCAAACGACGATTTCACATGTCATCTCGCCCGACCACTGTCGCATTCCCTGTTTCTGTTCGAGGTTTGCGTTCCCTGTTTCTGCTCGTCATTGCACTTGGGTTTACTTTTGTTCCGGTTTGGGGGAATGGCCCCGAGTTATGTTGCGGCTGTCTCTGGGGTTCCACTCCCGGGGCAGGCGGCCGTTCCGGTTTCTTCCCTCAAGAATTTCATGATGCACATGAATCTGGAGGTGGGTATAACTTTATTAAAAAACTGGGAACCCGCTTTGTTTCTCATTGATGAGGAAACAAGTATATTGGCTTCAGCATGCAAATATACTCTTGTTGGGAAATTTCCGTATGGAAATCCCAAGCTTGAGATTATTAGAAAGCATTTCGATTCTCTTAAGCTCACAGGGAGTTGGAAAGTTGGTTCGCTAGATGGCCGTCAAGTTCTCATTCAACTTTCAAATGACGCGGATTATACCCAACTCTTTGCTCAAAAAGTTCTCAAAATCGATAATCGTTTTATGAAAATTCTAAAATGGGCAGTGGATTTTGATCCTAAATCAGAATCTCCTATTATCCCGGTTTGGGTTAATTTTCCAGGGCTCAAGGTGCATCTTTTCAATTATGAAACCCTTTATAAATTTGCAACTGCTTTTGGGAAACCGCTGAAGGTCGATACTCCCACGTTTGATACAACCAGACCATCTGAAGCTTGTGTGTTTGTAGAGCGCGACATCACTCAACCATTTCAAGGGGAGATTTGGATTGGCTCCCCTCATCAGAGTTATTGGCAGAAGGTTGTGATGATTGATGGGACCTCATCCCCAATATTGCTCTCACTGTGGAATGTTTGGTCATAGCTCTTCATCATGTTATCAGTTACATCCCCATCTACGGCCGGCTGTAGCCCCACCTACTGTTTCTCAGCACATTTCTGCGGAGGTTATACCCTCTTCCTCACTGCCTGTGATACCTACTGCTATGCCCATGGCGGATACTGTGCAAAATTGTTTGTCCACTGATATTGTTTCTGAAAATGTTGAGAAGGGTCGTTTGTTGGAGGAGAGTCAGGTGGTTGCCTCTAGAAGGCCCCTTCTTCTACTGGAGTAGACATACTATCCTCTCAGGCTCTATGTACCGTGGAGGGTGATTGAAGATAAAGATGAAGCGAACATTCACATTTAGATGATGGAAAAAGTGTCTCCTAATACTAATGAGGAAGATTTAGAGCCAAACACAAACCATCTTACTGCTATTAATCAGTTGGTAAAACTACCTGTTGAGAGAGCAGGTGTTTCCCAAGTATTGGAAGACTGCCCTACACAAACTCAGAAACTCATCGCTGCAACTGTCTTTCCTTCTATGGATCAGACTGAACAGTCTTCAGAAGAAGAATGACAATTTTATACTTCTCGGCGGAAGAAGAAGGCTGGGGACACTGTTCAGCTTGAAAACTTAATGGATGATACCTTGGTCACTCCTCCTTGGTCACTCGTCACTCCTGACAATGAAACAACACTTCAGAGTTTGCTATCTGGATCCGCTCCAAGAACCAGATGAAGACGCATGTCTAAACTGCCTCGTCCATAGGCACTTGTTTTTGCATGTTTTCTTTTTTTGAGACTTTTGTATCTTTTTGTTAGGATATCTTTGTATCATGTATCGTATGAGTAGGACATCATCTATTGGGTCCTCTCATACAATTTTTTGTATCTTTTTTATTTCAATATAAAAAAAAAATGTATATATACATATATATAGATATGTATGAAATATGACATCGGTGGCGATCTGCTCTGCTAGGGTTTCGCCCGATGGTAAAACCCTAGTTTGATTCCATTGGCCTTCAATCCATCCTTTGGTGCTCGACGAAGAAGTTCCCGCACTCGACGACGACGACGAAGGACTTCAATCTCCTCTGCGATCGTCGTCTTCTCTTTCACGCCCAACGACGAAGGGCTTCGGCGTCTGCTTCTGCGTTTCGTCATCTCCTCCTTCGCGCCATCCAGCTTCTGCGGTTCTTTTCTACGCGGATTCCCTCGTCGAGCTGCGGTTTCTTGTCTGTTTTCTGCGCATTTCATCTGCAGTTCCTGTCTTCTGTGCAGCTTCGCTCCGAGCTCTTCGGGTCGTCTTTTTTTGCCCTCTGCCCGACTTGCAGGGCTTCTCTTTGCTGAGATGGAGTTTCTTTCTTCTTCGGTTGAACCTGACAAAACCTCCTTTGTCTACGTGGTGACTAATCCTCAGAGGGAGACGACGATTGTCTTCCCTTCAAGTTATAAGGAGCAGCGTGATGATACAGGTGACAACCCCTTTATTAAGAATGTAAGCAGGAAAAACGGGAAAACAACACTCTTTTTCTCTGTGTCAGAAATTTCAACACTGACCGACAAATTCAAGTTTTCTCTTATTGGAAAATTTCAGTGGGGACACCCACTTATGAAAGTTACCAGGAAAAGTTTTGATGACCTCAAATTGGCAGGAAAGTGAAAATTGGGGCTCATGGATGAGAGACATGTATTGATTCAGTTAACCGTGCATGAGGACTACACTCGGATTTTCTCCAAAAAATATTTTAACATCGCTGGTAAACCAATGAAGCTACTCAAGTGGTCTCTTGATTTTGATCCAAATCATGAACCTCCTACTGTACCGGTATGGTTTAGTCTACGAAGCTGCACTTTTTTCATCATTTTTTCATTATCCGGCTCTTTACTCTATTGGTGTCATACTTGAGGATCCTATGAAGCTAGATCTACCAACTTTCAACCTTACCAGACCTTCTGTGGACAGAATATTTGTGGAAAAATATATTACTTTGCCTGATGTTATTGAAGTCTGGTTGGGCACAACGCATAATGGATATTGACAACAAATCATCATGGAGCATAAACCTCCTTATTATTATCATTGTAAGATGTTTGGGCATGCCCTTGATAAATGTCGTAAGCTTCATCCTAATTTGAAATCTAAAGATCAAGTGAATAAGAATGGATCTAAGGATGTATTTATTCCACCTGGAGAGAAAAATACCACAGGACAGGATTTGATGTCTGATTCTATTGCCTCTGTGGACCCTCCCCCTAAAAATACTATTTCTGCGATTGATGAGAAGCTGGATGGCCCTGCTGAGCAACCTACACTTTCAAACCCTATTGAAAATAATAATGAAGGATTACCTACACGGACTGATAATCAGAACCTTGCAGCTCCCCACCTTCAGGAAGTATCAGGGGTAGAAGCGATAACTCTCACCTCACATACACTTGTTGGCACAACTGTTGACAATTTTTCTACTGCAACGCTACCACCTCATCCGAATGAGCAACAATCTTTGAATGAAGAATGACAGGTTTACACTTCCAGGAGGAAGAAGAAGAATGGTGATCTACCTGAGCTAATGAATCTAATGGATGATACTCTAGTTATTTCGGACAATGGTACTCAACTCACCAATCTGTTAGCTAGTTCCTTTCCGAGAACTAGAGATAGAGACAGAACTAAAGTGGGCCGACCTGGTTGATCTTTTATGTACCATATACTTTTGGGCTTTTAATTTTCTTCTTTTTTGTGTGTGTTCTATCGTATGTAAAAACAACCTATCTGTACCCCTTTCTCCTTAATATAATTGCCCTTGCACACACACACACACACACATATATATCTGTGTGTGTGTGTGTGTGTGTGTTTTGCCATTTCGGATATGTGTTGAAGCCATGTCCGTGTTTGATAGTCTGACACGGGTACGTTACATTTTTAGAATTGTCAGTGCTACATAGCTAGATGTCATGGTATGACAAGGGTATGTCGCATTTTCACATTCAAAGCTGGTTCTTATGGATTGTCGGGTTTGTACTCAAGTAAAATTTGGATGTCATGGTGTTAATTTGATTTGGAGAAGACCTCAACCAATTTGGTTGTTCTAGTGCCTGTAGCTTTTGAATTCTTTAATTGTTATATAGGTGATGATAGGGGCAGTTCCATTAACTGGTTGTTTCAATGAAAAATCAATGAACTGTTTTTCCTCATCTTTAGTTAAATCTAGTTTGTATTGCCTGATCAAAAACAACTTTCATATCCAAGATATTTTCTTATTTTGATGTTCAATTTAGTTACGCAGTTTAATCTCTGTATGAAAATAAAATCCTGCTGCTTGTTCAGGTTGAAGAGTTAAGGAGCCGAGGCTATGAACCTTATGCATATAAGTGGGATAGAAGTCATAAAGCAAGGCAGCTTCAAGATATTTATGCTCATCTGGAAAATGGAGAACAGTGCAAGGATGACTCTGTCTCAGTTGCGGGAAGAGTTATTGCTAGTAGAAAGTTTGGTAAACTAGCTTTCTGTACTTTAAAGGATGAATCTGGAACCATCCAGGTTTCCCCGACTTATCTTTTCTCAACCTTTAATTCTTCTCATCCTTTTAGGTCATCATTTCTTTCATTCATTTTAGTATCTCATGTCTTTTGGACCTCATTGCAGTGATTACTTGATTTTTTAGCTTAAAAATTGAATCATTGATAAAATGTGGCTCTTTTCATAGTCACAGTTTAACTGATAAATAAATTTGCAGAGATACTTCGTACTGCTGAAGCATGCCAGTGCAAATGATGATACTAACAAATATTTTCTTTGCAGCGAATTTTGTTTTTGGATGGATTAGCGGTTTAGTGATAATATTTGTGTTCTTGTTATGTGAGGCTCCAGATTTCTGTCATACATAACTCTGAATTTCACACTCAGAAAGTTCTTTGGTGTATCTCTGCACTACACGTCAAATTGTAGTAGTTATTGTGTGATAACTGTTTTTTCCTACTAAATTGCCTTTCTTTAGAGTAGTTTCTTACCAATTTAGCGGGGAATCTAAAGTTCGCTTACTTCAGGAACCAGTTTTAGGTCTGAATTGACAAAATTTGGTGGAATTGTTCTTAGTTTTAAGTCATTCTACATGTGAAAATTCATATAAGATTGACTACAAGATTTTCGATTAGAGATATGTAATACAGATTAGAACGTTATATTACATCTATGATGGGATTATTGAAGTGAAAACCTAGTGACAGTCATTAAAGAATTATTAATGGTTTTATTAGGGGTAACTATTTTAGATGATATGCTAGGGTGTGGGGATCAAATATGTAGGAAAGCAGTAAGATTGAGATCGATCAGTCTTGGCATGACAAAAACCTGTACAGCAAGTATGTTAGGTTGACAATCCAAATGATGAGCATAATGTCAGTCTTTACTCTTTTATTAAGTATTTTAATAGAACCCCTAAGGGAATTTTATTAATTCAACAAAAAGTACAAAAACCGGCTTTAAGTTCCACTACACCTTAAATACAACATACACAAAGAAAACCTACGAACCGCCACCGAAATACAACTCACACAAAATCACAAAAAATCAGGATCAACTCTAATAATAGGAAAGTTCATTCTATCACCATGAATAAAAAAAGAGAACTTATTAGTCACAATATCAGTCACAACAACAGCTTGAGTTGAGCTGCCCAATTTAGCAGGCCAATTAGCCAGCTTATTACCTTCTCTTTGAATATGTGACCAAGTAACCTGTTAAAAATAGTTTAAAGCAAAAGTTTTCTTCATATGTACCAGAATAGTCCACGGGTATTACTCCTTTAAAGTACAAAATTCTCACTTTAACAAAGAATCAGTTTTCGCATGTACTTGATGCCAACCACAGTTCTTAGCCAGTAAAAGAGCTTTTACTATAGCTTTAACTTCAATGACTAATGGAGAAATAGGAATCGAAGGAGCAACACATCACACCAAACAATTACCACAATTATCTCTAGAAAGCCCACCAATGCCTGCATTTTGAGCTTTTCAACTGCCATCAACATTTATTTTAATAATATCTCTCACCGGCATTTTCCAATAAACCAAAATAACATTTGACTTCAGTTTCACAGGAATAGGAAGATTCATGTTCACGAATAATGTAAGGATCAATTTATTAACATGTTTCTTAAAACTCCCATATTTAAGCATTTTAAAATGAAATTAATGATCAATCTGAAAGTATTAGATATCAACACAATTATCTTTATGTTTAACATCATTTCTAGCAATCCATATAAACCTGAAGACAATAATAGGAATGGTAGCAAAAAACCGGCCTCCAAACCTGTTCCAATCCTGAATATAACTGACAATAGTATTCACCAAAATTTCCTCTATATTCCTCTCAAAGAGAATTGGGATACGATTCCAGATTTTATTAGCAAATTTTCAAGAAATGAAAATGTGCTCCATGCTTTCCTCATCCTGCCTGCATAAACGACAACATGTCGGGATTCTCAATCCTGTATATTTCAGAATATCATCAGTAGGAAGAATATGATGTAGTATGCTCCAGCAGAAAAAAGACTGAGAAGGTTTAATCCAAGAGTTCCAAACCAATTTTAAATCTTGCCCCCGAGCATACAGAAGAGAATCAACAAAGGTTTTAGAAATAAAATCACCCAAACGGCCTTTAACTCTTACTTTATCTTGAATACCTTGTAGGATGGGAACATTGGCAATGATATAAGCATCATAATTACTCATATTATTAACCAACACTCCAACATCCCAACAGTAGTTATTCCAACAATCTTTCACAGCAAAATTAATATCAAAATAACCCCATTGTGATCAGCCAGTGCACCACTACCCAATCAATCATCATACCAAAAACTGGAAGTGCCTTCACTAATATCCCAACAAAGCAAATTCTCAGTCTCTTTCGAGATCTTAAGCATCTCCTTCCAAACAATCGAATCCTTATTGTTAGCAGTGATAGCAAGTGGATGAGTATTAGAACAATATCTATTCATCACCATATGAGCCGGAGGGAATTACTAGCTGTATACCACCAGCACTAACAGGTTTGCATAGTTTAAACGAACTCATCCAATGATTCTTATGCTCTTTTCCAGCCCACAAGTACTTATTAAATATATTCTCCAACCTTTTGCAAATGCTAGACGGAATCTATATAATTTGCATAGCATATAAGGGAATAAAAGTAATAATACTTTTTTTAAAAGAGTAATTTTACCCCCAAAGGATAAAAAATTGTTTTCCCAAGAGATAATGCACTTATTGATCTTATCAATTAGACTCTCAAATCGATGATTCATTCTTGTACCTGTATCCATAAGATAACCCAAATAAGGCATATGCAAATCACCTTTGACACAGTTGCTAGTTCTGGATTCAGTTTCTCTTAACAGTAGAAATAGCTTTAGCATAGTAAAAGTTGCACTTATTATTATTGAAAATAAACCCAGAAGCTTCTTGAAAATGATCCGAACCTTTCCACAACTTTTTAACGGATGTCTTATTATTAGTAAAAATCACAATATCAACAACATAGGCAAGGCGAGGAATCCCATAGTTTCGTTTATCATCATAGTTCATGCTAGGATAGTTGTTGAAAATGCTATTTAAATATCCCGAAAGATAGTCAAAATCAATAATGAAAAGAATTGGAGAAAGAGGTCCATGTTTAATCCCTCTTGAAGCTTTAAAATAGCCACATTTTTTCCCATTAATCAAAATGAAATAAAACTTATTATCCGTAATTCTTTTGATAAGATTGCAAGAGGAAGCGTTGAAGCCATGATCTTTCAAAACATCCAAATTGAAATTTCACCTGATAGTATCATAAGCCTTTTTAATATTCATTTTGAAAATCACATGGCCACCCTTGCCTTTTCTATCCAAATCCAAAACCAGTTCTTGAGCAATCAGAGCATTTTCACAAATAAACCTACCTTTAACAAAAATAGATTGATGATTACTAATAAGAATATGAAGATGAGGTTGAATTTTGGAGAGGATTCTAGAAATAATCTTGGATATATCAGCATTCAAACTAATAGGTCTGTAATTATCCCAACTACTGCTATCTTTACTTTTAGGAATTAAAATGAGATTAGTAGATCTGAAATATTTAGGCAACTCAATGCCTTTAAAGAAGTCCTGAATAGCAATAATAACATCACCACTTATCACCTCCCAACAACTTCTATAAAAGGCAGCAAAAAACTCATCTGGCCCAGTAGTCTTATTACTGTCCATAGAATTTAGATCATTTTTAAACTCCTCATCAGGATCTAAGAATGGATTAATAATACCAGCATTTTGACCACTAATCCTCTCTAATTCACAATCATCATTATTAAGAAGATTAGAGAAAAAAACTAATACCATTAGCCTCAATTTGCTCAGAACTATCCAAATAAGTACAATCCCTTAGTTTGATTCTACTAATCACATTGGGCATCCTTCTTTTTTTAATAAAAGAAGGAAAATAAGAGCTATTTCTATCTACATCAACCATTTGATGACCCATAACTTTTTGACTATAGAAGGATTCCTCCATAGTAATAGCATTATTTAGCTCATATTGACTTGTGAATAATGCGTTAAACTCAACCATATCATTGTTAAACTCCTCCAATTTTTTGACCTTAATCTCAGCATTATGAATATTATTATAATGGTTATAAAAAACATGCCAATTCCATTTTCTGAGCTTGCAAGCCAAATTCTTATGTAAACTCAATCATCTATGACCATCATTACCAGTATAATCAGATTTCCAGTCATCTTTCACAAACAAATTAAAAGAAGTATGGAGAATCTACATATTAAAAAATCTGAATTGATAAACCAAAGGTTTTTCGCTGACTTTCACAGACAACAATAAAGGAGCATGATCCAAATAAGTAATAGCCAGCTGATAAACACTAGTAACAGGGAAGTAATCCATCCACCGACTGTTAGAGACCAACCTAGTCTTTCAAACACCTTCCCTTTAGACCAGGTAAAATTATTGCCCATAAAACCCAAATCAAATAGGCAAACATTAAAAAGAGCATAAGAAAATTCAGCCATTAAACTTAAGTTAGGAGGACATCCCCCTTCTTCTCATTTGTAGACAAAATCATATTAAAATCACCTCCAACCAACCAAGTTTCATTAATACCAGATTTCAGAAAAAGCATTGATTCTACAACTCAATTCTATTAGTTTTAATACAATTAGCACACACAATAGCAACAAGAAAAGCAACATTATCACATCTAACCTTGATGTGGATAAATTGAGGATGATCCACAATCACAGTAACATCAATAGAATTTTTCAAAGAAACCAAATCTTGTTATTAGAATTAACAAATAATTTAAAATTGCCGATTATTCTAGCATACTTATCATTGTTCTGCCTTACTCAAGAGGTTCAAGAATACAAAAAAACTTAAATCTTATGAGGTATGATAATATTCCTTACTTTATTAGAGGCATTCACCTTACCAATGTCTCTAATTTTCCAAATGAGAAGAATAAACATCAGTAACCAATT